CACACACACACACACACACACACACACACACACACACACACACACACTTTTCTCCAGAGTCAGTGTTCTGGTCAGTTTATCTTCGGGGTCTCTTGTTTTCCTGACCTGATGGGCAACCCCACAAGGTCTAGTTGTACTTGAGAACAAAAACCTGAGTTGCTGAGCCTAAGTGGGTGAGCACTCTCTGCCTGGTTGTGTAGGCAGGCCTGTTTTCTCATGGGAGCTCTCCTGAATTGAAAGGCTGAAAGGTGTGCAGTAAATGTGCAGATCCAGACAGTAGGCAGCAAGTTACCAAAGTGGGAGGAGCTTTACTCTCTTTCTCTCTCCCCCTTTTTTCCCCCCTAAGTAGGCTCCATGCCAGCGTAGGGCTTGAACTCACGACTCTGAGATCAAGACCTGAGCTGAGATAAAGAATTGGACGCTTAACCACCTGAGCCACCCTGATGCCCCTTGGCGGGCAGTCGGGACATGTGTTCTGCTGACTCTCAAGTGCTGTACTCTTTTTCATCCTTCTGGTCACTCCCAGCCTCCATTCTTGTAACACGGAGGCTCCCACCTCTGTTGCAGCCCCACCCCACATATATTCTGAGCATCTTACATCTCCTCTGCTTTCCATTTCGAAAAATCTACAACCCCATTTCTTTTCTGTTTTACAATTTCTTTATTTATTTGAGAGAGAGAGAGAGCACAAGCAGAGGGAGCAGCCGAGGGAGAAGCAGGCTTCCCGCTGAGCAGGGAGCCCGATGTGGGACTCGATCCCAGGACCCCGAGATCATGACCTGAGCTGAAGGCAGATGCTGAACCGACTGAGCCACCCAGGCGCCCCTACAATCCCTTTTCTGATCTCTTTCCTATTAGCTGTTTGTTCAGCTTTGTTCCTGGTATTCCAGGGCAGTCTAAGAAGGAAAGAGGGGAGAAAGCTTAGGAGCTTTGTTTTCCACTGAAAGCATGAGAGCTTTTCTGAGATTCAGTTATTTCTCAGCCCTACTCCTGGACTGACCAATCTTCTTAATATGGGTAGGCTCTTCCAGGGACCACCAGATGGAGGTGGTCCCAGCTGGAGAGCATCGAAGGGACCCTGTGCAGAGTACCCGAGCTGTGCCCTCCTCCCTCCCAGCCAGCTCTCACCCCCACTCTTGCTGGCTCGGTTTGCAGGAGATCCTGTCCGCCTGCTGGGCTTTCGACCTGCAGGAGAGGCCCAGCTTCACCCTGCTGATGGACATGCTGGAGAAGCTGCCCAAATTGAACCGGCGGCTCTCCCACCCTGGCCACTTCTGGAAGTCTGCTGAGTAAGTACCCCCTCGGTGGGCCTTTGCAGCCTCACCTGGTGTCTTAAAGGGCACCGTCCGCCCTGTCTGCGTAAGACTTTGATCTGGGGAATACACAGAGCAGATTTGCCAGAGCGGACCAGACTCATCCCCTTGCCCAAGAGATACTAGGATCTTGTTTATTTCAGAGACTCCTTCTGAGACACGAGCGTCTCCAGTCCTCTTCTGTGAAAACCCACATATCCCTGTTACCAGAGCAGTGCTGACGCTGGGCCCAGGCTAGGCCTGGACAAGAGCAGTCTGCCTTGGAAGGGGCCAGATAGGGCCAGTTGGAAGCCAGAGCAGCTCTGACTTAAAAGGGTGCAGACTCAAGATGGCTTGCTAGCCCCCAAATCAGCCACCTGGGATGGGGACCACGTGGCCCGGGTTTCTGTGCGACTCTAATGCTGGAAATCCATTTGCCTTCTGTTTAATCACATAGTCCTTTGTGCCCCTTGGTACCAGGCAGCCTTTGCGCCTCTTATACGTTCTGTCTCATTCCCCTTTTGCTCTGTCCCTCTGGCTCTCTCTCTCCCTGAGCACTCAAAAGCAGACCTCTGCCCTGCCGCGAACCCCTTGTGGGAATCTGAGGAAGTCCTTCGTTCTAGGCCTCAGTTTTGGCAGCTTTAAAAAGTGGGGCTGGGGCCAGATCAGGGAGTGGGCTTCTAGCGTAGGGACTGCGTTAGGCTTTGCAGGCGAGGAGGGAAGTTGGAGTCACAGCGCCGTCCCTGGGATTTGTGGCGTGCCCAGCAGCAGCGCAGAGCTGTGATAGTACCAAGTATGGCCTGTGTCGCAAGGACTCAGCTCTGTCGTTTGGTGCAGGAGTAGCCAGGGACGACGCGCAAACCGGGGGGCTGGCTGGGCTCTAATAAAGCTTTATTTATGGATGCGCCAACTGGAATTTCATGCAGCTTTCTTTTTTTTTTTAAGATGTTTATTTTATTTATTTGAGAGAGAGAGAGCACAGGCAGAGGGGGAAGCAGGCTCCCCAGTGAGCAGGGGGCCCGATGGGGGACTCGATCCACGGATGCTGGGATCATGACCTGAGCCGAAGGCAGACGCTTAACGACTGAGCCACCCAGGCGCCCCTCATGCAATTTTCATATACCATGAAATCTTCTTTTGATGTCCCCCCCCAACCCATTTAGAAAGGCAGAAACCATCCTTAGTTTGTGGATTGTGCGGAAGCAGGTTGAGCAGCCCATTCATGAAGAGACCCCTGAATAATAGGAATGGTTTTAAACTTTTTTTAAGGCAAAGGGCACTTTCTAAAAGTGTGCTGTCCCCCAGAGTCCCATTAAATAAAGCAGATAAAGTGGAGCTGCTCTTGGTAGTTGAGGGGACAGGAGCCTGTCCGTACAGCCAAGGTGGCTGCTGGGGCACCTGCCGTCCCATCACGGAGCCCCTGGGGGAGGTGCACCTGGATCTCCTACCTGCTGCCCAGGTGTGTGGCAGCATCCGTCCTAGTCTAGAAAGGGCCAGTTGGCAAATATTTTAGGTTTGTGGGTCATATGATCTCTTATCATATGTTCCTGGTTTTTTTGGTTTTTGATTTTTTTTTGTAACCTTTAAAATGATCAATCTTTCTGTGGCTGGATTTGGCTTAGCTATAGTTGGCTGGCCCATCTTAAACCAAACTGGGTTTCAAGCTACAGGTGAGGGGGAACCCAGCATGGGTCACCCAACCAGAGGATGCGGGTGGGAGAACTCACTGAAGAAATGTGATAAACTGCTGAGTTAGGCCATGTGCACGGACGGCCTAGAGGAATGACAGTTTGGGGTTGGGAATACTGTTTTTTAGAATGCCACCTCAGTGTCCATATTAAGATGGGTCAGAGTCTAGTGCAACTGGGGTGCAACAGAATGTTGCCATTGGAGGTGTGGGTTCTACCCAGCCATTGCCGAGTACCTGCTACACAGCTGGGTAGACGGAAGGCCAAGGCCAGGCCTCGGCCAGCCGGGAGCTTGCAGTGTGATTGGTGAACGGATGAGGGAATGGCGCTAACATGCTAAGTGCCGTGACAAAGAACAGCCTTTGTGGGAGCACGCACAGGGCCCTGTCTGCCCGCCCAGAGCTTGAGAAAGGGTCTCCAGAAGAGGGCTTATTGGAACTGGGTTTCCAGCAGGAGCTACCCTGGCAGAGGCCAGGAGACTGGGGTTCCCCTGGACTCGGGGCACCGTGTTGAATATCCTGGGCCCTGGTTTTGTCCTCCACAGAAGAGAAGGCTGCGCTAGGCGGGTCCGGCATTCAGGAGACGATGATTCCAGATTCCCTAAAGACTATGTAGCCCCACCTTCTCATTTCACAGGTGGGAGACAGAACCACAAATGGGCGTTGCTCCCTGCCCAGAGCCACCCGTGTTAGCCACTGGGGAGAAAAATGCCAGCCGACCTGAATGAGCCTCTCAGTCAGTGCTTCCTGCCGGTGCATGATTCCTCCTTCAACACATTCCGCCTCTAATTCTCATTTTCTCCTTCCTTTTCCATCTGTCTCGTTGCTTTTTTATTTCTGGGGGGTGGCGGACGTTCTGGCCTGTGCTGCCACCCCCCCCACGCCCTGTCATCCTGCTTCCTCCCCCACCCGTCTGCTTCCGGTGCCATCACCTGGGGACTGCGCTCCTCCCACACTTGGCCCAGTGGTCGCGCGTCTCCCCTCCCGGTCGCTGGCGGAGCCGCCACTATGGGAAAGGGCGTGACAGCCACCTGGACTTTCAGAACTCCTGTCCGGCTCTGCAGGAATAGCGTGTCTTCCGCTGTTCCCCTCATTCTCTGCCTGTTTGCACCCTGCTTCCTGTTCTCTCTTGGCATTCGGCTTCCCCGTTTTTATCTGGTTTGTTCCCCTACGCCAAAGTGATAGTCTCGTAGGCGAAATGGCCACCGGCAAGGGTCCCGTGGGCTTGTGGGTCTCTGGCCGGGCCGAGCGGAGGCCCATGGCACCTGGCAGCACCCCTGTCCACCCACTGTGGCGGGTGGCGGCTCGTCCTGGGGTGGGAGAGAACTCGGAGCCTTGGTCCAAGTCCAGGGTGCCCTTTGACCAGAGCCTAAAGAAGGGAGCGCAGTAAGCAGAGAGAGTGAACTTTCGGCAAGTCTGTTTTGATAGTCAAGGGCTGAGGGGCCATGGGTCCGTCGGCCAACCTCTGTCTAAACATTCTGTGACTGTCCCGGGGGAGCTTGGGACGGAGCTTAGGACAGGTGCTTTGTGCCGGGTCCCTCCTGAGCTCGCTGCGCTGCCAAGCCTGGAATGGAGCGGGGACGCCTTTTTCCCTCTCTGCAGGGAAGGTGGGTCCCCTACCCTCTGCCCTGGCCAGGCCTCTGTCGCTCCCCCTGCCCCTCCATGGGCTCGGGTTCTGACTGTGTTTTCCTCTCCTCTCTTTCTACCCGTAGGTTGTAGGCCTGGCTGCCTTGCATGCACCGGGGGCTTTCTTCCTCCTAATCGACACTCAGCACCGTGACTTCTGCTCAAACACAAACTGACGTGCGGGCACTAACCCAGGGGATGCGATCTCTGCCGCTCCAGGCATCTCTCCCGAGACTTCTTCTTTCGCTTTGTTGTTTTTCAAACTGGCCCCCTCCCCTCTCCACGGCCTGCGTGTGCTTGAATAACTACTGTCCACGAGGACCTCCTAACAGACCCCCCCACCCCGCCCAGCAGAGGTGCCTCCCCCCGGATGGGACTTCATTCTCTAACTCTTCCTCTGGGGGGCAGCGCCCAGGCGGCCCTGTCTCCCCACTAACACCTCCGTGAGACCGACGCGCGCCGCCCCCCAAGCACATCGGCCTCCCACTGGCTGGGTCCACAGTGCGGGGCAGGGCTTTTGCTTGGCTGTTAACCTGCAAGGTTTTGTCCAACAAGGAGTGGGATGATTTCAGAGCTGCCCAAGGCCAGCCCTCTCTGGGAGGGGCCTGGGGGGGTGGACACCAGAGTCCCGTTGCTCTGAAAGACACTAGCTGGGAAGGGCTTTGTCCACAGCGGTGCCCTCGGGAAAGTGGTCCTAAAACAAAGGGGGCCTGTTGCCAAACAATTTCACTGATGAGAGCGAAGCTTCTGCTGCCAGTCCCCACAACGTTACTCCCTTTACAGACAGAAAGTACCAGAACCCAAGTCAGTGTTCAAGAGTGTGGCTGAGAGGCCACACACAGTCACTGTGCTGCTTCCCAAATGCAGGTCTCCGGGGTCCCCCCAAAGCAAGTCCAGGTCTTTGGAGGCATGTTCTGAGAGTCTGCGTTTCTGCTGCCTCCCGGAGGGTCCTGATGCCCCCCGCCCCACAATGTTTGGGGACCATTTCCAGAAGGATTGTGTGAGGCCACTCTCGGCACTTGGGGTCCAGTTTCTCTTTCTCCTGGTTGCACTCGGAGCAGAGCCCTCCTGGGCCGCAAGTGAGAAAGTAGCTCAGTCGAGCCCGCGGCAATGACAGCCTGCCAGGTGCCGGGGACTCTGCCACTAACCAGCTCATGTCCCCCAGGAGGGATGTGCCAAGTCTTTGCACCCCGGCCAAGTCTGACCAGGAGCAGCTCTGCCAAGGCTGTTGGCTTGCAGCCGTTCTTGCTCCTTGCTTCTTGCTGGGGCGGGTCCTCTGTGGAGCTTCTGAAACCGGCCCGCTCCTTAGCTAACATTATCCTGCTTCCAATCAAGACCAGCGTGGCTGTAACCCATGTTTTTGTTCCTCTTTGCAGCATTAACAGCAGCAAAGTTGTACCCCGGTTTGAAAGGTTTGGCTTGGGTGTCCTGGAGTCCAGTAATCCAAAGATGTAGCCAGCCGTGCAGTTTCTCTGCCAATTTCTTTCTTTCTTAAACGTGTTTCTAAAGCATCCAAACAACCACCATGACACAAACGAAAACACTCTTTGAAACATCGGTCCACCCTCCTAAGTGCTGCAGACCAGGAGTGTGAGTCCTCCACTCAGACGTTCATCCACAAAAACACCGGGAGATAGAGCTGCACCTGCTGTTTCTTAAAGTCATATCACCAACAACCAGACCTGCCCCGACAGGCAGCGAATGTTTACATGTATGTTTCTGGGGCGTGAACTCAATGCTTTACAACAGGTAATAATACAGAGTGGTCCGCAGAGGCTGGGATGGCGGAAGCGGCCTTCCCCTCCGGAGGACCCTGGCGGCGGTGAGGAAAAGGAAGAAAAGCATCCTGACTGTGGCTGTTCTCGGGGTAGGATGGGGACCACAAGGTTTGACCTGGACTCTGCTTTGGCCCTAAAGCCTATCCGTGGGGAATGTCCCTCTGTAGGGTTCTCCTCCTATCCTAACAGAGGGACGCTGTCCCTTTTTTCCTCTGGCAAAGGAAACCCTGGCTAGGAACCAAGCTGGATTATGAGGGTCAGGAGTTTCCAGAGGGCTTGGGTTCCCTTTTGACCCCAGTAACCCAGCCCATAGCTGCTGGAAAAGTCGAGACAGATTAAATCCAAATGATGTCTGGATTGATCCAGGGATTGGTGGCCAGGGTTTCCAGCACCTGTAGAGAGGTCTCTTTCACACAGCTTCCAGGAAGACACCAAGGAGATGGCCCTCAGGGCTTCAGCTCCTTAGACACATCCCAGTCCTGGCTGACACTTGACCCCAGAGCTAAGGCCCAGCCCGGCAGCTGCATGTACCATGAAGCCTTGCTCAGGGAGAACAAAGAGGGGAAGGGGAGGGAGAAGTGACAGGCAGCGGGTTCCTGAGCCCACCCTCCCACCCACAGGGTGACCTGGCTCTTCAGAAGCCCCACCAGTCATGCCAAGGTTCTGGAATTGCCCACCCCTTCTCCTCCAATCCTGTTGGAAGCCCATAGCCACGCCTGACCCTTCCACTGTCCTTGCTCTGAGCTCTTAGCTGAGACGGGAGGCCTGTGCCCCTCCACGCTGTTGATCTAGACCACCCAGTCCACCAGTCCTCAGAGCCTCCCCTGAACCGAGTCAGGACCATCTGTGCCTGTATATTTGCACCAGAAGGAGGGGCTTGACTGGGGGATGTCCGTGGTGTGAGCACATCCTGCCTGTCTTCATTAGAAGCTGTCACCTAAGGAGAACAGTTCCAAATGGCAAAGAGGCCTTTAGTGGGCGTTACGCCATGTTAGGCTTCAAACCAGGACTGACCAAGGGTGATGAGGCTGGAGATGTGGTTGGATTCAGACCCAGAATCTGTGTCCATATGCCCTGAGCCAAGATGGGGGCATGTGGCCCTCCCATCCCTTTCATTTACACCCGCCTAGCAAAGCTCCCAATCTTCAGAGCCTTCCCTGGAGTCTGGCCAAAATGTCATACGAAGCAGGCCACTGCCTAGAAGTGGTAGGGCTGCCTTCCTGACTCCGGGTCAGGCGCCCCTCAGGTGGGCCACCCTCGCCTGGAGAGCACAGCTGTGCAGCAGTGTGAGGTGTCTGGACTCCCGCTGCCCCTCAGCGTCCCCAGACCTGAGCTCCTTAACCCTTCCCAGTCAGGGTGTGCGGGGAAGACCAGAGCTGTGAGCCAGCTGGATTCAGCTCTGGGTGGGTCTTTCCTCTTCTGTGGGCCTGCTGGCTTCACCCCCTCATCCCTTGGCCTCCCCGATGGGTGTCACGCCTGTGGGTCAGTTCAAGAAGGTTTCATCGAGCACTGACTGTGTCTTGAGCAAGTGTAGGGGACCCCGCGATGGGAGCAGTCACGGTCCCTGCCCCTAAGGAACTGACGCTCAGCCAGGAACCCTGAGGGGTTGCTGAAGGCCTGGAGGACAGTCGCTTCATCTTCAGGACCCCGGACAGCCGCCCAGCCCTTGGCCTAGCCTCTGGGCTGCCTGTCCCTTAGGAGAAACGTGGTCCCTTCTCCCTGTCAAAGTGACTGTGAATTGAGGTTGGGAAGACGTGCTTGCCCTGCTGTGTGCTCTCCCTGTCTGCCATGGAGACACATGAAGGACGGCCAGATACTGTGAATTCAGCGCTCACGGCCAACTGTGAAGGGGATGGAGAAGGTGGGACAGCCTCCTCGGCAAGAGCTCTGGGAGCTGCAGAGGTCCCCACCAGGGCCTGAGAGTAGAGCCCAAGCTTTGGTCCTTCGCGGCACAGCCTCAGTCCCCAGCATCGCCTCCAGAACCCTAGGGCCCGTGCCCCCGTTGCCTTTAACCCCCAGAGCCGCAGCCCCTGGCTCTCCATCCAGCTCAAGGTCTTCAATCAAGCTCCCCCATTGGTAGCGGGCGGGGTAGCAACGTTGACCTCTCCGCGTCACCGAGTCCAGGGCGCTGGAGTCCCTCTGTCCTCGTGGCATTCTTGTGATCCGAGGGGCCAGCCGCGTGCCCTGTACGCCTGCACTGCTGTTCCGCGTTGATTAGGGGGCCTGGTGGAGACACAAATGTGAAGCCGTTAGGGAGCTCGTGTGATGCTTCAACGTTAGCCCGAATTTCACTAGTGTGTGTAAAGCCAGCCTCCTCCGTGGCCACAGGCACACACTTGCTTTTTTTGAATGTGATGTAAAATCTGTACAGTAAAAGTTTTTATATTTTCTATCAACTGCATTTGTCTTCCAGAAATGCTATTAATTTAAATTAAAATGGTTAGTATTAATGAATGTGCTGTATCCGTTTTTTTGTCACTGGCAAGAACACATCCTTTGTGCCAGGCCAAGCCTGGGTGTCTGGAGTTTGTGAATAAAATTGTACCAAGGTGTCTGGGGCTTGTGTCTACTTGGGTCGGTTCCAGATGAGTGTGTGGAGTTAGTCGGATGGATGGCATGAGGGAACAGGAATGGGGGTTGGGGGCCGGACCCCCTCTAGGAGCTCCTTCCAGAGAAAGAAGGCGTCCATGGACCTGGAAGGCAGATGGAGGAGTGGAGACCGAACGGCATCAGACCCTTGATGCACAGAGGATGGTCATCCAGCCTCCAACACTTAACAACTCATGAGCAGACCCAGACCCAGTGTCTCCTGGGCTGAAGGTGTCTTCACCTCGTGGAAGCTGTAGGGGGTGGGGAGTGGCGTGCGCATTTATCTGACTCTTATTTCTAGGAGCCTCTCCTTGCCAGTCATGTAGAGAGGTGCTTTGGAGTTTGGAGGAGGCAGGACAGATGGAGGAGAAGGGGAGCCGGCATTTGCAAGGCCCTCCTCTGAGCCAGGGAGGTGCTTTCTATCCATCATGCCACACACCCCCCGCCCCACTCAGTGTAGTCCTCACAGCCACGCCAGGAAGCAGGAATTGTGATGTGTCAGCCAAGGAAACCGGGGCACGAGAGGTTAAGTACCCAAGATGACACAGCTGGAAGGTGGCTGGTCCAGGACGCAGCCCATGGCTTTGACTCCAGAACGTCCTCTCTGCAAAAGTCGAGGGACGGACCAGACATTTACTGAACGCCTGTGCTCTGAAGGTGGCGCTAAGTGCTGAAACACAGATAAAAAGGTGGTAGTCCCCTTGCCTTCAGCCCCCAAGTGGTCCGAGGAAGGGGTCCCTCAGTCTGCCTGGCAGGTTTCATGAAGGAAGTGGCCTTGGAGCTGACTTTTACAGTGAGTAATGTGCCTGGTGCAAATAAACAAGAGCAGGGCATTCTACCCTGTGGGAATGGCATATGCAAAAGCTCAGAGGTCTGGGAAGACATGGTATGCTTGGGATATCATGAGTATTCAAGCTGTTGTACAATGAAACTGGGGGAGTAGATTGGAGCCAGAGAGGATCCTGCAAGTGCCAAGTCAAGGAGTTTAGACTTTTAGGTGGCAGCCCTGGGGAGCCATGGGAGATTCTTGAGGAGGGGAGGGTCATAATTACATTTGTGTCTTAGATACATAGGGACTGGAGCGGGGCTGAACTAGAGGCAAGGGGATAATGACCTGAGCTTTGATTGGTTGTGGGGAAGAGGTGAGCATCCAGGGTAACTCCCCAAATGTCTGCCCTGCTGCTAATAGAGTCAGTCACAGTGAAGGTGAGTCTGTGGGTGAGGAGTGGGGGTTGGCGGGGTCATGCTCAGGGGCATCCAGGTGAGTGCTGCATGGGCAGAGGGCCATTGCCTGACAGCACACCTTGCTGTAGAAATGAATAAGGGCAGGGACTAGAAAAATTAAAAATGTGACCTCGTTCTTGAGGACCCAGTGGTAAAGCTGAGGGTCCCCAGTTATATAGAGACTTGGGGGGGGTGCTTTTTTATAACTGCCATATCCAGCATGTTTTCCCTAGTGATTTTATCTGGTAAGATATCTAGCTGCTAGGTTTCTTTTTCTTTCTCGATAGGCCATTTTTATCTTTTCAGGAGGTGCTAAATAAAAGCAATGGAAGTCTGTTTCCCCAGGGCCTGAGAGGGGTTAGGTTAGAGGTTAGCAAGGGCAGTGAGGCTCTGGTGGGAGACCCTTTGAGATCCCTGGTAGAGACGAACCATGAGAGACGATGGACTCTGAAAAACAAACTGAGGGTTCTCGAGGGGAGGGGGGTGGGGGGATGGGTTAGCCTGGTGATGGGTATTAAAGAGGGCACGTTCTCCATGGAGCACTGGGTGCATATGGAAACAATGAATCATGGAACACTACATCAAGAACTAGTGATGCAATGTATGGTGATTAACATAACATAATAATAAAAAAAGAAATACTCAGGGAAAAAAAAAAAGATCCCTGGTAGACTCAGAAAGGGGGAGGGAGCATTGGCACACGGGATCTTTGCCACATGGTTTAATATTTAACATTCCCTAATTACCTCTGTACCCTGAAATCCGATTTTTGTATGCTATTCCACTTGAGCAGACCTCTGCAGGAGTAGATGGTTCCAGATTTGGGCCCAGGAGAGAGAGGAGTTCCCTGGGATATAGGGAGGGTTAGGGGCAGGGCTGGCAGGCACTAGAGGCTGGTGTATGGAGGAGGGAAAAGGGGTACCACCAGCTGCCAAAATGATGGGAGATGCCAGTGCAGCTGGGTCCTTGGGAATTAAGTTTTAAGCTGTATCCTTGGAGGAGAGCTTTGTAACTGGAAGAATGAGCGCTCTTTCCCATGCCCTAGTGCTAGGCGGGAAAGATGCCAATATAATCCAGCCTGCAAGAGCGCATATCTCGAAACATCCACAGGAGCTTGGTGTTTTCAGAAGCGAGACCCTCAAAGTGTGTGTGACCCCGAAATGGGCCCCCGTCCTGTGCCAGAAGCCTCAAGGGGCCAGTTGAAAGTCGTGGTTGAGGGAAGTAGCTCAAACATGCTCTAAGGGCCAAGTACCAGCCGGTTTGCAGAAGGGAGCACGGCAGGCAGCCGATGCCGAGGTGCGAGAGCCACGTGCTCTGGAGGCATGCTCTGACTCACCGTAAACCACGGCCCCCCTCCCCAAGGCCCGGGGTTGATGGTGGGAGCCTGACATGTCACTGGACTTCAGGGCAAGGGGGTGTCCTCTGACGGTGCCCGAGTCAGGGAGATGTAGGGGGGGTGGCCTACCTACCAGAGCTCAGGAGTCCAGCCCCCCCGCGTTAATAGCTCTTCACTTTGGCCGTCCCCAGCCCTCCTGCAGCTCCCGCTTGTCCTCGACAGGGCTGCCCAAGGAAGCCCTGACCCTCTGTTCCCCTGTCTGCTCCAGAACACATCACCACTGTCCTCCCAGCTGAGAGCTGCCCAGTGAGAGGCCCCTGCTTACTGATGGGTCCTTAAGATGTCTTTAGGCAGAACTGAGACACAGATGATGTAGAGTCCCAGAGTGAGAAAGTGATTCTCTTTCCAAGTATCTTTCAATCCGTCTGGGGATCTCAAGAAGAAAGGCTCGTAGCATCTAGAAGCAGTCTCTAGCTAATTGCCACCCACGAGCACCGATCTGCCCTTTAACACAGACTGGGCCCGTTGTAGACTCAGAGAACTTTAGGTGAACATTTTCCAGGGGGAGCTTCGTAGCCTTCTCCCCCCAACTCCCACCTCTTAAATGTCATAAAATATATGTAATTATCATTTTAACCGTTTCACTGTGTGGTACCTTAAGGCCCAACCCCAGAAATTGCACAATGTCACTTCTGAATTCTGTTGGCCACGTCAAGTCATGAGCCAAACCCGATTCGGGAAAGGAGACTCCATCGCCTTTTTTTTTTTTTTTAAAGATTTTATTTATTTATTTTGAGAGAGAGCATGAGCAAGGGGGAGGGGCAGAGGGGGAGGGAGAAGCAGGCTCCCCGAGGAGCAGGGAGCCTGGTGCGGGGCTTGATCCCAGGACCCTGGGATTATAACCTGAGCTGAAGGCAGACGCTTAACCGACTGAGCCACCAGCGCCCCTTGACTCCATCTCTTGATGGGAGGAAGAGAAAGTCACATTGTGAGCAGTGTGGACCCAGGGAAGCATGACTCTTTGGGGGACATTATTGGCATATACCATCAGAAGAGTATCTTTAGAGATCCTTCATGCTCTAGCCCCTAGGATGTAAGCTCTCAGAAGGAACAAGGTCTCCTGTGTGGACTAATTCTGGGAAGGAAAAGCCAGGCCCTCTCTGTTGCTCCCCAAAGCTGCCTGGAATGAGAGGGGATTGGTGAGGGTGGCCCTGTGACCGCACACAGACTAGATGAAGCAGGCGCGGGGGCATCGGCTCAGCAGGTCAGCAGCTGGAGCCTGGTTGCTCAGGCCATCTCTTCCACTGACACCAGAATGTTGGAAGGGGCTGCTGGGGGAAGCTGGGGGAGCACAGCTGACCTGGTTTTTATCCTGGTTTGGCTGCTCATTGCATGTGTGGGGTGGGGCACTTGTCTGATGCATAGATTCATCAATGATTCAGCACGGCCAGGCCTGCCAGGAGCTGGACCAGAGGTGACAGATGTGAAGTCCTTGGCCCCCTACCAGGCAGACAGCACTCTGGTGTCCATAAACACTGCCTCCTTTCCTGGGGAGTGTTCCTGGTACATGAAGAGGGAGTTAGGTCCTAAAACAGCTTAGGGAAGGAAGGAGGTAGCAGGAACTGGGAAGGGGCAGGGCCCGGGCTAGGGCCAGGAGCTATAGCCAAACCAGGTTTCATCTTCTGGGGGCAAGCACCCCTGGCTGCCAGCCCAACTATCGTCTGTCTTCCCGGCAGGTTTAGGAACAGAACCCAGAGGTGGGGTCACCGAGAAGCTTGAACTTCAGGGCTCTTCACTGCATAGGCAATGGGTTTGCCTGGCCACAGGTGTTCGTAACATTTGCGAGAGCTAAGATGTATTGAATGAACTGGTTTTTTGTAAAGAGTTTATTTATTTATTTGAGAGAGCAAGAGAGTATGAGCAAGGTGGGGGAGGAGGAGGGGAGGGCAGAGAGAGGGAAAGGAGAAGCAGGCTTCCCACTGAGCAGGGAGCCCAACGGGGGGCTCGATCCCAGGACCGCAGAGATCATGACCTGAGCCAAACGCAGACACCCAACCGACTGAGCCACCCAGGCGCCCCTTGAATGAACTGATTAACACTACTGTCTCCTTCCCTTCTAACTTCCCCTCTATCATATGGCCTCTTGAGTCAGGTAGTATTGGAAAGGCCCATTTGCATTTTGGGGCTCGGACTAAGAGAGTTGTCGAGAAGGGCGCCTGGGTGGCTCAGTTGGTTAAGCGACTGCTTTCGGCTCAGGTCATGATCCTGGAGTCTCAGGATTGAGTCCCGCATCAGACTCCCTGCTCAGCAGGGAATCTGCTTCTCCCTCTGACCCTTCCCCCTCTCATGTGCTCTCTCTCTCTCTCTCATTCTCCCTCTCAAATAAATGAATAAAATCTTAAA